TTGAACTTTTTACGGGCGCAAAGGGTTTAATACAGTCCTTAGTACTGAAAATGATGGTGTTATATTTTCTGATTTAGAAACAGATCCATGCAAAGAAAAAAAAACAATAAAGAAGTTGTAAGTGAAGTTGAAGTAGTTATATGTGCTAAGTATCTTGCAAGAATTGATAAAAAGGCAATTTATAATTCTGTGTATAACTTTAATGTAGGCGGATATGTTTTTCTAAAAAAAGACTTTGATACTAACAAAGCAAACAAACGCTTAAAATTTGACCCATTTTTTCATCCCGAAGCTATACTAAAAAAATTCTCTGAGAATTGATTACTAATTTGATTATGGAGATAGAACTGAGATAGTATCTATGACCAACGTAATAAAAAAAAAACAATTAAATGTAGTTTATTTTTGTGCTTAAAAAATGTTATAATTTATATAATTCCTTGCTTTTTTTTGAAAAAATTATTTTATGTTATCTAAGTACAAAATTTAATGATAGCAATATCGCAATACAAATATTTTAAACTTTGGATTGGCTTTTACAACTTAACTTTTTGTAAGCCTAGCAAATTGCAGCGTTTAAAATATTTAATTTTTGATATAAAAAGATTCTGCCTGGAATCGAACTATGTGCAGCCATGGCTCGGGTGCGAGCTGGGCTCGCGACATTTAATAGTGCAGATTTTGATACTAAAACATATAAAAAACAATTCTTAAGTTTTTAGATGTTGTAAAACGATATGGTCGAAGGACAGACAAATTAGGCGCAGTGGTAAGATAGTACAAGTGGATGAAGCTGGTCTTAACTTAATGGTTAAAAATCATAAAGGGAGATCGCCAGTAATTAAAATTGATGCGCTGTGTATCGTTGGAGGCGTAACCTGTATAACAAAAGCCTATGCCCGTATACCCCCCCCCCAACAAAAAAATGTCAACAATTTTTCCAATCGTTTTAGAGCGTGTAGAGGTGGGAGCAACCATATACACAAATGAACATAAATCTTATTGTAAGCTGAATAATTTAGTATATGTTCATGATTCAGTATGTCACAGGCGTGAATATGTAAACCAGCAAACAGGGGTTAGTACTCGGGGTGTAGATTCTTTCAACAATGAATTAAATCCGGATTTAAAAAAGAAGGGGTGTTGCTACAACAAAAGACAAGAATTTTTAAATGAGTTTATGTGGCCTTTTAATAATTCAGAAAATCGGATTGTATAAATTTGGAACTTGCTTAAAATACACATTTAACTCTCTTTCTTAAATCTTTTTTTAATTTCCACATTTAACAATGAGCTGAATTTTTCTCGCAATGTAAGAAAAACCCACCTGATCGTTAATTGTGGAAAAAATCAACCCAATTCGACAAACTTTGTTATCTGAAATCTTGGGGTTCAACGGGTAAAATTTCTTAAACAAAAAAAATTCAAAATTTTTATCTGGTAATTAACACCACATACTACCTTTTTTAAAGGCTGAATATGCTTTATGTGTGTCCAGCTTTGATCATTCATTAATTATACCCAAAATCTTTTTTTGCCTACCTTTAATATTTCTTTGGGACAAGGTTCATATTTGGGTTCATGTTTCTTTGCTTGAAAGTTTCGTTTATATAACAGATCTACTATGCTTAACAGTAAAGGATATGTACTTTGGTGTCGTTATTACCCGGCGTTGTGTTTATCCAATACGCTATAAAATCTTTTCCACACATTAACAACAGCGGTAAAACTTTAATCAATCGATTATAAAAATATTTATTGCGTCCTCTGCTTTCTGAACGACTTCTTTAATCAATAAGTTTTTGTTTATCGTCAAAATAAAAGATATTGTTTTATTAAAACGTTCCGAAACACCTCTGGTACCGGCGTATGTTTTGGAACTAGGACCTGTATCATGTCCTCTTTTTGAAGATAATTCTTAAACATTGCATACCATTATCAGAGATATAAAATTTTATTTTCGTAAATTCTTTGCACCAAGCTACAATCGATTTAATCGCTTCGTTATTTCTTATTCTTTTATAAAAATACTAGCTTACGCCACCCTTTTGAAAACGGGCTCACAAATATTTCGGTTGCTCTTTCTTTTTAATGGGTATGGTACACCTTTATGTATGTACTTATTTTATTGTTTTTAATCACAAATTTGCCCTTTTTTTATTAAAAATAAAATTAAATATTGACACCTTATATAAGATTAATATAACTAAATAAATCGGGGGTAAAATGCACAAAAACACCGTTTCCCGATTAGAGAAATAACCCCCAAAATGATGCCGTTTGTTTTTAATAAAAAAACCAAAGAATTTTAAGATCATGTAAATTATATGACCTTCGGGTCATATAATTCACAAGATATTTTTTTGATTTTTTTAACCCCCTTAAATGATCAACAAAACCTTAAGACTTGAACAATTATTGCAGTTTGGGTATAAGGGAAAAGGTGAAGTTATTGAATTTTTAAAAGGTAGAAATCTTTTGTGTAGAATTATGAAATGTGTTTCTTGTAACACTTGTATGGAAGAACGAACTAGAAGAAATTCTATAGATGGAACTGCGTGGATTTGCAAAAATGCAATGGGCAGCAAATTTAAAAATTCCGTAAGCATTAGGAAATTTTATTTTTATAATTTTCGGTTAAGCTTGGCGGATATTTGGACAGTCATAGTATTGTGGTTGGAGAATGAAGGTGTTTGTTGAATTGAACACATTTATGGGACTGTGGGTCTACTGCGAACAAAATATTTACGACGCTGAAAGATGCCGTGATTAGAAATTTGGAACTCGATCCTATAATATTGGGTGGACAGGGCGTAATCTGTCAAATAGATAAATCCTTATTTTGTCACAAACAGAAAAATTATGTCGGCAAGATTTCCGATACACAAATGTGGATCTTTGGGATTGTAAATACAAGTTTTTGTCCAGCAAAAAGATATATGGAAATAGCTTTAAGTAGATCTTCTGGTGCCCTTTTGCAAATAATAGAACGTGTTCGTAAGCCGGGCACAGAAATTCATAGTGATGAATGGGCGAGCTACAGAATTCTAAATATTAAAACGAGATTGGTGCATAAAACAGTTAACCACTCTGTAAAGTTCGTTAATCCAATTAATGGAACTCACACCCAGCATATTGAATCATATTGGCAAGGTAAAAGTACAAAATAAACAAAATGAAAGGTATAAAAAAGATAAATTTAAAAACCTGCTATCAGAATTGATTCGAAAGCATGGTTAACATGCAAATGTGTTAATTCGTTTAATTTGCCTCTTAAAAATTCAATAAAGAATTCTATCTTTTTATTCATGTCTTTTTTGATCCTTGTCCAAAATGCTTTTTTCCACGGAGGCATAGTAATTCAAATGATTCGAATTTTGCTTTTTCTTAAAAAAAGAAAGGCTTAAATTACAAAATTGTTCAGATTCAAACTTTTATGCAGCGCGCGTAAAAAGTTAAGACCTACAAAAAAATTACTTTTTTCCAACACAATAAACGTGAAATAAGAAATATAAACAAACAAATCCGGCCTAAATAAAAAGCTACATAACTTTATTTATTTGAATTTTTTTTTCAATTAAGATTATTTCAGGTCAATTCTAGTTTTTTTTCAATAAAAAATAGCGTCAAAATGTTAATACCGGTGACAAAATTTGGCGGCACTTCATTTTTTACCTCCTCCTGAATAACTAAGTACAAAAAATAAAAAAGTGAAAGTGATTATTTGGAGGGGGTGAGAAAAGATGAAAGAAAGGTAAAAACAATATTTATTTTTCTAACTGGCGTGCTGCAAAGACATGCGACTGGTCTTAAAGTAATACTCCAATGAGCTAAAGATTTAATCGTTGCCGTCTGTTCCTTGCGGGCTTTTAAAATAATTCTCATTTTCACTTAATAATTCATGTAATTTTTTATTCATAAAAGGCATGTTTTAAATTTAAATTTCTTCAATGTATCTTAGAAACATAATGGTTTTATGGTTTTTTTTGAAAAAAAATTACTCATAAAAAAAGAAAAATTATCTATTAATTTTATCACCTCTTTTTTTAAACAACGTAAATCGTACGATTCTGTATCCAATTGACATGTTGCAAGAGATTTTCTGATGTAATACTTGATCAGTATACTGATGTCGCAGAATGCAAATCTTGAATATTATTATATAGTTTTTCGGCTTTTTAATGCATTCTTGATGTATCTGCTTATATATTTTCAATTAATTAAGATCTGGACTTAATCATGGCCAGTCTATGAAATCAATATTGTTGTTTTTAAACCATGTCCGAGTTGTAGAGTAGTGGCAAAAAAGGGCATATTTAATTTTGCAATTAAAAATTTGAATTTTTTTGTTTTGTGATGTTCAAAAGTGGTAGTGGCAAAATTTTTTTTTATACCCCATGGTAATACTTTATTACCACATGTTTCTTCTTTAATCTTTGTTTGTTTGTTTATAAATTTTGTTATGTAAACAAATAAACCTATAAAAAAATTTACCCCATAAACAATGTATACATCAAGAGATAACCAACGAGTCGATCACTTCAAAAGATCGAGAGAGGATAAAACCCGAAGACAATTCCGGGAAAATGTAAATAAACGTAATTATAGTAATACTATTTGTCACTTTAAATCCCGTGGAACGTCACGAACAGGCTTGCGTATACTTAGTGTGATA